AATATATATATATATATATATATATATATATATATATATATATATATATATATATATATATATTTCCAGAACATTATGTTATATTACCAAACCGTTTAACAAATGAATCTATCTTCAAAATTTTTGTAAATTTTTGATTGGAAATCATTCTGTTCCTTAATGTAACTTCATAAATGATATACTTAAATTTCCAAAATTATCAAAATAAATATGAGGAGATTGTTCTTTGGAAAAAGCCTAAAAAATTTGCTGACAATAGTTGCTTCAATAATACCGGAAGCTTTTGTTGCCATAAAACTTCGTATGTATATATCAAACAAGAGAAATCAATCTTTGCTGTAGCCTGATGGTAAGGGTATATCAAAAATGATTGGATCATATTCTATCCTTAGCTTATGATCACAAATGGATGCATTGATAAAGGTTGTATGACCATTTGTTGTTACACCATGTAATTGATGAATATGTCCGAAAACATGAAACTTTGGTTTCACTCGTTTTTCCACTGTATTTAACAAATCTGCACATCCGGCTAATACTCCATCACATTTATTCCAACTGTTAAAATCACCATGTCCTGAAAATTATTTACTCAAAAATTAGATGATTATTTCATAAATAATTGTCAATATTTAACAAGAAATAATTAAAATTAAAATGAATTCATATCTAGCAGAAAATTTTTCAATAAAATAATAAAAGCAAATTATGGCTTATTTTAACAATGATAAATTAATTAACAATAATAGTAATAAATTGTTAATAATACGTTAATTAGTAAATTAAACAAATTAATCAATAATTTTAAATTAAAATATTTACCAAGAGGTGGCGTATGAGTAATAAGTATATCAACTTTTGATGGGATATTTTTCCATTTTTGCATTATCGAATAACCTCGTGAACGATAAAATGAATAACCCGGCATTGAATGCCATGGTGCACCGTAAACCGTCAAACCATAAATCTAAACTTAATTATATATTAATAAGTATTACTAAGCAATTAAAATACTCGATTAAAATAAGTTAAAATATGTTTATAATTACTTTGTTATAATTAACTTTACATTTACTCATTATAATAAGCAATAAAAATAATGTAAGTAAAAATTGGAATAGAAAGAAAAAAAAATGAAATAAAATAAATTTCCGGAAATATTTGAACGGTAAAAGTGGACAGTCATCGCTGTTTGTCATATTCAATAATTGATTGATTTAAATATTTGCAAAACTTAAACGTATAAATGGAAAGATTTGATGATACTAATATTGGATAAATTTTTTTCTTTCATGAAAGATATATGAAAAACAATGTAGTTTTTTTTTTTTTTTTTTTTAAAATATATTTCCGACATATTCAATCATTTAGCATAGAGGCTATAATGTAATATGTTTGTTATTTATCGAATAAATAATGATTTAGTATTATTCCTTATAAATATCAGCAAAAGTTTTGTCACCTAAAATGACATCTATGATTTTACACGTACATTTAAAATAATAAATAATGAAATAATAAAAAAAAATAATGAAAAAATAAGAAAAATAGAAAAAAATAAAAACAATAAAAATAATAAAAAAAATCTAAAATAATAAATAAAAATTTTGGGCAAGGAACTTTTCATATGGCATGTCAAAATTACTGAAAATATGTTTAATTCATATATTTAAAGATGGAAATCAAATTCGTAAATTAGAGATTCTTATAAAAATATGTAATGTTTTTTCTTTTTTTTATTGCTTAAATAAAAAGTTTGCAGAATGATTTCTTATTTCATCTTTAAAAATTTTGATTCCAGCATTTTGATTTTCCATTTTATTTTGTTGTCATCATTTGTCAACTTAATTTTTTATTGTCATATGATCAATTGCAACCGGTCAATTTCTTCGAATAATTGTTCTCTAATAGTTTTAACTAAGTTTATAAGGCCCATGATAAGTTGTTTATGTTGTGTTGCTGATAATTTGTCGCTGATATTTTCATCGATAGTTAAATCATGACAGTTTTTGTTTTTTATTTTTTTTTTGGAAGGTATGAATTGTTCGAGAAGCAATTCAAAATCATTAATTAAATAAACAAGATGACATTTGAAAAGGTAAGTTAAAAAAAAAAGAAATCGAATACCTCAACTGATTGATCGCATAAGTAAGAGCAATTTGTTAGCAATTCATAGGGTTTGCTAATACCAAGCATATTTAAGCCAGCAAGTTGCTTTTCATTTAATTCTTCACCATCTTCAAAGCCAATCTCATGATTTCCAGCTATGACTAATTTATGCTTATGTGGTAAGCTTCCTGAAATTAGCGATGATTTACTGATATGATTAAATATGACTAATTTATGTTTATGCGGTAAGCTTCGTGAAATTAGCAATGATTTACTGATATGATAAAATGTGACTAATTTATGCTTATGCGGTAAGCTTCCTGAAATTAGTAATGATTTACTGATAGAATAGTTAGAATAATAAAATATGACTAATTTATGCTTATGCGATAAGCTTGCTTCCTGAAATTAGCAATGATTTACTGATAGAATAGTCAAAATGATAAGATATTTGAAGAAACAAAAAAAAAAAAAAAAAGAAAAAATTACAGCTACAATAAAAGAATGAGGCATTATCATATCATTAAGACTGATAATTATTCCTAACTACTTTCTAAATACCAAATTAATCTCCTCATACTAATCAAATAAGTCATTCTCAAATTGATTACATTAAAATCATTGGTAAATTATTGTTTGTATGAAATGATAATTTAAATTTAAATTTAAATATACCAATTTGGGCATTAAATTTGATCACTTCACCAATATCACCATAATTTGTAAAATCACCAGCATGAATAAGTACATCACCGTCCGGAATTATTTGTAACATTTCTTCCATTTTTTCATGAGTATCCGAAATGCATACAAATCGTACTTTATTTTCAAAGATTGGTGTATCAAGCCTAAATATAATACAACATATTCATTACATTTATTTCTAAACCATTTAAAAAATAAAAATTTCCTAATTATTTGAAATTAATTTTAATTATAAATTACATAAAAGTAATATTCACTCAACAAAAAAAAAAAAAATCAAATGATAAAATTTAAAAATAAAAACAATTTAATAAATAATTTACAATCATAAATTACATAAAAGTAATATTCATTCAACAAAAAAAAAA